CACACACACACACACACACACACACACACACACAAACTGGGGGGGGGAGAGGAAGATATAACAACCACAATTATTATTTTTTTTTTGAAGTTCTTACAACAAGCAAATGGAGGGGACACACTTGAGTGGGAGGGGGGAGAGGGAGGAGGGAGGGAGGTTTCGGTGATGGGACATAATAATAAACTACATTGTATATTGACAAAATAAAAAAATAATTTAAAAAAAATTGGTGAAAACCACACCTAAGAGTCCTTACAATAGAACAACGGAAATCTTTAATTCCACACACACCTATATAGCACATTGGACTTCAGAGACACCTGAGGGAAATTCACTTCCATCTCCTACTTCTGGGAGCACACAGGCATTCCCTAAACCTCTGGGTGCTTCCACCACAAGGATATTGGGGGCTAGTCTCACTGCTATCCCTACACACAGGACAGCTATGTCCTTGTCTGGTGGGATTTTGCCTCCACTGCCCATAGCTACTCGTTCCTCAGCAACCTCTGTGCCTGTTACTCAAATATTTTCACTGCCAGTTAATGTCTCTTCTGTCACCTCTACTGTCACATCTATGGTGGTGTCTGACAACACTAAGGTGACCATGCCTGAGCCTTCTACACTGGCCGGGGCTTTCTCCACATCTGTGCTCTCAGATGTCTTGACTCTGTCATCAGCTACAATGACCATGGCATTGGTGCCATCATTGGATCAGACTGCTTCCACAGCCAGCAATACCGTACTTATCCACAGAGACTCAATTCATACCATGTCAAAGGCCACAGTGATCTCTGTCAGGATGACACCCCCGGCAGTTCTCTCTCTGGCAGAAACCCCATTTCCCTCACTGAAAACCCCCATTCTTGTGACAGCTAAGTCTGAGACATTCCTTCCATCCATCTCAGCTGACGCAGTAACCCATCCACACACACTTGTGTCTAGTCAAAATCTCCCCCAGACAACATTCCTATTGTGTCTTCCACTCACGTGATCTCAGCTACATCCCTACCAGTAGCAACTCAACCCATATCTCAAGTGTAGGAGACTTCTACCTATGCTCTCAGCTTTCTGTATACTTTCAGTGGTGGTGGAGATGTCGTTAGCTTGGCTGCTGGCACCACAGAGACCTCTGTTGTTATTGGGACCATGCCCTCACACATCTCTGCCGACAAGCTTACTACCTCAGTAGACGTTCACATTTCTCAATCTTCCACACATCTTGTAAACACACCAGTCTCCACAAAATTGGTGACTGGCATCTCTATCTTATCTTCTGATAAAGAGCACATGACTAGCTTTCTGGGAAAAAACCGTAAAACTATGGAGGTGACAGAAATGTACCCATCAAAGAATTCTTTTATTTCATACTCTCAGGGTACTTTATCCTTAGAAATGACAGATATAGCATTTCCCAAGACCACAAAAATTTCCAGTCACCAAACACATTCACCTTCAGAGATTCCACTTGGGACTCCAGCCAATGGAAATTCAGCTTCCTCTCCCACTTCCAGGAGCACCCAGACTGTATCTACCTCGACCTCAAGTAACACAGATGTTCATGTTTCAGAAATGTCTACCAGTCTTGGGAAAACAGCTCTCCCTTCGCAAGCTGTGACAATAACCACTTTTTTGTCTCCTGAAAAGGAAAACATGAGTGCCCTTTCAGTATACACTCCCAGGACTGTGGAAATGATAGCAAGCTCCACCGCTGTGACTTAGCCTGTCTCATACCACCAGGATACTTCATTTGTAGATTCCACGACTTCCGGGACACCCAGAATATCAAATCCTGTGAACAGAAACACAACTCTTTCACACTTGCCTTCACTTAGGACTCAACCTGAGGTGACTTCAGTTGCCTCTTTCATTTCTGAAAGCACACAGACTTTCTCTGAGTCCTTATCTCTTTCCACAACTCGACTACCTAATGCCAATTTTACAATTATCTCTCCTAACGGGATCACTGCCTCCCTTTCTGTTCCAAATGTACCTACACACTTCTGGGGAAAACTTCTATGGCAACATCAATTCCTACTTACCAGATGTCCTCATTGCCAATTAATGTCACTGCCTTCATCGCCAAAAAAGTTTCTGAGACTCCCACAATAGTAATGACTAAGTCTTCTAAAACAACCCATCCAGGTTACTTGAAAAGTCCCTCTATAGCCACATCTGGGACTTTCTCTGAGATGTCCTCAAAGCTAGTTAATGACTCTGCTTTCTCACCTACAGTAGTTTCTTCTGACACTACCACAACAGTTGGGTCATTCTCTACTTTCTTGTCCTCAATTACCCCCAGGAATACTATGATGATACAAACATCTACACTGGATGTCATACCTGTGACATATTCTGGGCCTACTTCAAAAAGCACAATGGTTGCCTCGGCTTTTGCTACTTCAGAAATGACAAAGGTATCCTCCAGGATCACACCTACATCCTTTTCCTCTCCAACAGAGCCAACTTCTCCCTCTGTGAAAACTATTCCAACCAGTACTGTGGCTGAGATCGTGACTCCATTTGTAGGCACCACTGCCTCCCCTCTACTCAGTTCTAAAAACACTGAAGCTCTTTCCTCCATTCCAAAGACCACATTTTCACCATTTCTATCAACAATGAAACAATCATCACAAAGAGATGAGGCTACAAGTCCGGGCATATTTCCTGGGAATACTTACAGCTCCTTGTCTACTGTGAGCAGTGGTAGACTGTCAGCTCTCACAAATACTTATTCCAGAACTACTGTCCCTGAAAGTGTGTTTTCATCTACTCCTTCAGATAATCTCCATACTTCCATGAATATTCAGGTTTCCCTATCTTTGGTTAGCTTTAAGAGCACCCCTGGACCCACAGAAAGTATAAAAAGCACCACAACTTACCTTTCTTCTTACACAAGAAAGATGACTTCCTTGTCAAAAAAGACTTGTTTAACAGCTGAAGTAACAAAAAGTGCCACATCTCTGAATACCCGTTTCATACTCTCCATGGACTGCATCTAGTGCAACTCCATCCTCTTCAACATCATTTCTTTATTCACCTCATAGTACTGAAGCTGAGTTCTCTACTCCAAAGATATTCTCTCTTTCTACATCCCAAATGGTTGAATTTCCACTTCTGGGGACAAGAATCACATCTAGTAACACCCAATCTCTGCTTGCAACTTCCTGGCACGCACCCACAGCTGAAGGTTCTCAGTTTCCAATTTTCGCCACTACTCATGTACCTACACCCAACAAGGCGGAAACAGAGACTCCACACCTTGCTCCTGAGTTTTTGTCAACATTTCCAGCCACTTAGACTGATCTAGTATCTAGAGATGTTATGGCAATGTCTTCAATTACCATGTCAGGAATTCTTCCTACTTTTGGGCTTCCTGAGAGCCCTTCGTTATCAACATCTTCAAGAGCTACCCCTACCACTTTGGCTGACATTAAGCACATGTTTGAGAAAATGACCACATTTGTAACTTCTGGCACCACAGTGCCATCAACCCCTTCTGGTACCGCTTCAGGATCTATAATCTCGAAGGCTACTACTTCATCTGTGCTGACTTGGATCTGATCTAGTCTCCCTTCACGTTCTCCTTTGGCAACTGTATCTAATGCTCCTCATGTTATAACTTCCTCTACAACAGAGGTGTCAAAATCCACATTTCTGACTTCTGCCATGAAACCGACACACCCATTCCCTAACTTTACAACACTGCCCTTTGCTACTGTAAGCACCGTACTCACCCAAACCACTCCTACATCTACAGCGGGTGGTATCACTACCAGTTTCCCACCTTCTCTCCCTGTGTCTTTAAAAGTTGCAGATGACAGTATACACATGTCCACATCTCCTGAGCCATCCTCCAGAACCACTGTGACTGCCAAATCCAGGACTGTGTATCAAGCTCCATCCTTTAGCAGAATGAAATGTCACCCCCTATAACTGACCACACCCTGTCTATTGGTTCCATGCCTCTGCCTTGCCCTACAGTAACATCTGTGTGGAGCAGAATCCCAGCTGCATCAGCATCCCCTACTTTAATTCTTCCTAAGCCCACACTAGACTCCCTTCTAAATACAACCACTACTATATCTGCTGCTACTGGAGCCTCATTTCCATTCAAATCCCCTGGAATGACACATCTTTCTACAGCAACTGTGTCTTACTAATCCCTTCCTCTTTTGAGACAACTTGGATAGACTCCGCACCTTCTTTTCTATCTACAGAAGCATCGACTTCGCCTATTGTCACTAAGCCCACAGGTACTGTTCCATAATTTGTGCAGCGTATACCTAACAGAATGCATGCACAACAGGCTATGTGTTTCCAAGGTGGCCAGTTCTCTGAAAGCAGAAAAGGATGAAGGACGCAGGTCTCTCTTATCTCCTTCAGACAGTGGCTAGAGTGGGTACCTTGTCCAAATACACAAGTCTCTAGGTATCTTTCTCATCTTTGCTTTATTGAAATATAATGCAAATGTATCTTTTTATTCAGTCTGACATTTATAAGCTTCTTTACCACCCATTATGTCCTCCAAGTCCTGACTCTGACTCTGCCAGTGTGAACATGGACTAGGATCCTCACCCTTTCCCAGTGAGAGGATCATATGGCCTTACGTCTGACCATGTAGACCACACACCAGAAAACACCAGAATATATCTTATCCTGCCTTTTGAATTCCTCTTATGCAGGTCTCAGTCTTCTGCATTCCCCAACTCCAGCTGTCCAGAGATGCTTATCCATGGCTGGGGGGTATTTGGCATCCATATTGCTCAAATTTTGAATGTTCCTGCAATTTTAATATTCCAAAGTAGAAATTTGATAGAATACACAAGAGCAAGAGGGAAATGAGAGAAAAATTTGAAGCAGAAAGGAAGGCATAGGAAGAAAAAATAGCTATTTTCTCAGGACAAATGACCTTGTGAGAAATGACCTTGACCATTGAATAGTTTGGAAATCTATTGGCCAATGAAAGTGGAGAATTTGGGGGATTTGTAGAATGTTTATCAACTGTGTAGGAATCAAAGAAATGCCCAAATATTTAAAGCAAAAACTGCAATGGTAGCGTCCTTTTTTGCTTTTGGATACGCAGCCAAAAGTGTTGGTTTTTAACCTTGGAGTTAAAGTAAGCAAAGTTTAAGAATGCGACATCATGCTTTAAAACGAAGAGCACTTTTGACCAAACTTACAGAAGTCAAATATCTTGAACGAAATGAATGAAATTAACCTCTTTATTTTTAATTACAGTTTCTTTCTACAATATTGAAATGAACTTCTTTGTCTTTGATGATGAGCCAAGGATTACTACCAGTGTTATAAATGAATTTGCAGAAAACTGGGTAAAATAATCTTGTGACTATTTATAATACATATAAATATATGTGAATATATATAGCAGAGTGTATATATAAATACATATATATACTGTGTCTGTGTGTGTGTGTATGACAAAGACAGAGCAGATTAAAACTAGGCTTTACTTTTTTCTACCAATAATCTATTTCACAGCTAATTAGTTACGATTTTTTTGGCTGCAAATCTATATACTCTGTAAACAACACCACGAGTATGCATGCATCTCTCTTTCACAGTGCTAATGCTCAAAGCATTTACAGAATGTTGTTTTCATTTCTTTAGAGCTGTACATTTCCTTCCACTGACACAAATTATGAGTCTTTACCAAATTTTCCTATTTGGGGAAAGTAGGAGAGCAGTGATACCAAAGTCTATGCCATTATACTTAAGTATTTTTGTTTTCTGCATTTAAAGTTTTTTCTCTCTTCAACACAATGAATGTTTTATTTACTCTTTACATTTTTTTCTGCTAATAAGACATACTCTCTAAAAAACTCAGACACTGATATCTAAAACCCAGAAAGTAAATGTTCTAAGACTGCTCCTTGCCTTAACTCCTCTTAATAGTTTAAGCCATGCTCTTTCAGATTTATTCTGTAAATATTATAACATAGATGCATGTGTGTTCTTTTACAAAAATAATTGGATTCATACTAATTATGCTATTCCTCAGCTTGCTTTTATTCTGCCCATTTAACCACATATCTTTGAGTGTATTTATACTGGTAAATATAGATCTACTTTACACACTTTAACAAATGCATAGGATTTCACTATGTGGTGGTAATGTAGTGTTGTTATTTTCAATCCAGGCATCCAAAGGTGGACATGTAGTCTGTTTCTATTTATTTCCTATTTAAGAACAATGCTAAAAACAATGCCCTTGCAATAAATTTGGGGGAACTTGAGTATTTCTATAGGATAAATTCCTAGAATTGGAATTGCTGATCAAAGAATGTGAACATTTTGCATTTTAATAGCTATCACTAAGTGGCCTCCCAGATAGGTCATACCAACTTATATACCCCCCAAACAGTGAATGATAATTTCTGTTTCCCCTCTCTCCCTATCAGCACTTATTTTCAAGTGTATATAACATGATTATAAGTGCTTAAAAATAGTTGGGTGTATTAGTCAGCACAGTCTGTCATAACAAGACACCACAGACCAGGTGGCTTAAACAATAGACATTTATTTTCTCACAGTTTTAGAGCCTAGAAGTCCAAGATTAAGGTGCTGGCAGAGTTGGTTTATGGTGAGGACTCTCTCCTTGGCTTGTAGATGGCTGCCTTCTCCCTATGGCCTCACATGGTCTTTCTTCTGTGCTCACACATCCCTGGTCTCTTGTCCTCTTCTTAAGGACACTAGTCCTATTGGATTAGGGCTCCACCCTTATAATCTCATTTAATCTTAATTACCTCCCTAAAGGCCCTATCTCTGAATATAATCACATTGGGATTTAGGGCTTCAACATTTGAATTGGGGGGATGCAATTCAGTCCATAACAGTGGGTAAAATGTAAATTGAAAATCTGTTGAGCCAGCTGAAATAATGAATGCAGCTTAACGCTCACATTAAGGTGACTTTGCTGAGTTAATATAGAGGAATGGGAAAACTAAAACTGTTTTTCTTTTTTTCTCTTTTACAGCTAAATTATATATTTCAGGATAGTGAATTTTGTCTTGCTGATCAGGCTATCCAAATTAAAAGCAGGTATGTGAATGACATTTACTGCAAATTGAAGAGCAATTTGAGTGCATTTGGGGTTTGCCCCTATTCACAGGGGATTTCCTTTGTTTTTGTCTGGGGATTAGAGGCTGCCACATTTTTAGTTGCATCTTTCCTTCTGAGTACAGGTTCTCTTTGGAATGAGGAAAAAAATGTATTGTGGGGTATAAAGCAAATGGGAGAACAAAATAGAACAAAATAAATAAAGGAAACTGGTATTAGACTAAGTTACCTCTAATGCCTCCTTAATCTCTAAAATGCTATGATTCTGTGACTTAGAAAAAAAATCATGCCTTAAAGGGATAAAAGGCTAAGGATGGTCAATGCATGAGGATTTATAAGGCCTTTTATTTTCAGATGATGCACTCTCAGAAATTAGAAATTCTAAAGGGCACTCAAAATGTTTAAAATGAGGAATGTTGACTAGTTCAAGTCTTACTCAGGGCACAAATTTCGAGAGGTGATTGCGGTGAAATGGGCAGACACTGAATAGTATCAAGGAAACCGTGGCAAAGGCAATTGGTCACCTGAGAAATACTTTCTATGATCCTGCCCTGCACATATACTAGTCCTTTATTAAAGGGACACCAGAGAAGCCCTTTGAAAAATAGGCATGGCTCTGTCAAATCATGGTAAGCTGATTTTTAAAACACTAAATGTAACTGCATATCTTCTGTGCACTGAAATTTGGTTTCTCTTACATGTTCAAATATAAATAGGTTCAAGAAGGTTCATATAAATGAATGGAAGTAAATCCATGGTAGGTTATTGTATTAGTTTGGGCTATTACAACAAAAATACAGTAGACTGGGTGCTTAAACCACAGAAATGTATTTCTCACAGTTCTGGAGGCTGAAGAGTCAGGGTGCCAGCAGGGTCGGGTTCTGGTGAGGACCCTCTTCTTGCTGTTCTCAAAAGGCAGAGAGCAGAGAGAGATGACGCTCTCCTGTCTCTACTTATAAGGGCACTAACTGCATTCATGAGGGCTCCACCCTATGACCTAATTACCTCCCATAGGCCACACCTTCTAATACTATCACATTGGGGATTAGGCTTCAGCATATGAATTTTAGGAGGACACAAACATTCAGTCCATAACATTTATTAAAGAAAATTGGAGATATCTAAGATATACAACATTCTTTTAAAGAACGTGTCTATTGTTTGTTTCTCATTACAAAAGTAATACGTGGCCATTGTAAAATCTTAGAGCTCTATAGAAATATATAACACAGATAGTGAAAATCACAAAAACCCACCTTCCTCACCCTTCCAAGATCTCCTGTTAACAGCTTCCTTTACATATTTTTCTAGATTTTTTCCATGCATTTACTAAGACAACAGGTTCCTACTCTACATACTGTTTTACAACTTTCTTTTCTTGCTTTATAATACATCATGGACATCTTTTTAGGCCAATGTATACAGATCTAGTTTATTTATTTTAATAACTGCATAAGATTCTTTTGTATGGGTGTTCCATGATGTATTTATTCAATTATCTAGTGATGAACATTTGAGTAATTTCCATCCTTGTATGTATATTTTTATGCACCCTTGCTGGTACCATTACGGGATAGATTCCTGGAAGTAGCATTGCTGAGTCAAAGTCTTACCACCATTTTGGTATGCAAATAATTCAAATGACCAAGCTTATTTGAAGTTTCCCCTTGGAGCCCTACCACTATTTGAATTCCAGGTTTGGAGGACTCTACTGTTCTGCTTCAGAGTTGTCTTTCTCCTGATCTTGTGCCCTGTGTATTTGGTACTATATTTCAGTTTTCTGTAATTTTGTGATGCTTTTGATACAGAGACACTTCTGAGGAAGAAATGGCCATGGACTGAGCTATTGTAAGTAATTTTTCAAAACAAATCTACTGTGACCCATCCTGTACCTGATTAGATGTAAGTAAATAGCTCTTCCATCCAAGTGTACTATCAGGCAAGGCTCTGTTGTGACAAGTGGGGTTCAAATTATTTCTTTTGGGATTGACAAAAGAACCCATCAAAAAAGCATCCTCTGCTTTGCTAAACTATCCATGTAGCAATTTTTTGAGGCCTATTTTGTGGGCTATAAGAGTGTGGAATGACCTTGGGATTGTAAATGGTAAGTGGAATTTCTTGGTTGTAGACATTTTGCAAAAAAGCCTGGTTCTTCCAAGGGTGACACAATTGCTTGTAAGACTAGCATTCACACAATAAATCCACTATCTATTTGTATAGATTTGAAGTCAGGGTGTGACAGAACTATCTCCGTCATCCTTGCCCAATTCTCAGTACTTATTCCAGTGCCTGGACGCTTTACAATGGTATGCTCTGAAATAATTAGTAAGCACACAGCTTTCAAGGTATTTAAATATCAGATACATATTTTGACTACACAAAATATAATCAAGCCTACAGTGCATTCCAAATGGCTTGCCATCATTTAAAATATTTAATACATTATAGATAACATGATATAGCTAAAATTCCTCTGAAATAATAAGTGTAAAAGCTTTTTGGTGATATTGTGGTCAAGCTGCCTGGGTTAAGATCCCTGCTGTCTCATTTCCTGACTACCAGACCATGGGCAAATTAATTAACCTCTCTGTGCCTCAGTTTCCTCATCTATAAATTGAGGGTTGTTGGAAGGATGGAATAAAATCATTTTTGTTAATGCTTAGCACGGTGCTTAGAACATAGTGTTTGATAGTGTTTACTATTGTCACCACCATGTTAATATCCAGATCCAGAAGGCTTAGATTCTGCTCTCATTTCTGTGACTCAGCAACTGTGTCATGCCGGATAGATCACTTAACTCCCCTGAGACTCAGCTTCCTCACCTACAAAATGGGGCAACATTGCCCAACCTACAGGGTTGGTGTAAGGACTAAAGGCATTGGTATTTTTGAAGATGCTTTGCAGATGGCAATGGGTTACATAAATGTAAAGTGTAATTATGACAGTTGTTCTTAACAATAAGTCCTGTATTCAATTGTGACATTTGTTTAAAGATTTCAGTGACTGTGCACTTTTCTTTTGCATTATTTGGAACAGAGAGAAGGGCAAGGAATGGCTACAATTTTCCATGTACCATACAGGTAGGAACTGAGTTTATTCATAGCTGGTACATTTAGTTCTGATTTTCCTCCCATTTAATTCCGTATGTGCAGTCTATCGGTCAGTTGTCAGAAGGAGATTAAAGTACCTGGTGGTTATTTTACAGATGCTGTAATTGGGCTCTTCCCTTCATGAAATAAGTTGTTTTGGTCGGTCATGGCATAGCCTAGCAGCCTGCCTGCTACCTCTTTGTAGTGAAGAGAAAATGGGGTCCAAAGTAGTCATAATTTGTGGATGGGGAAATAAAGTGTTTGTTGTGGTCAAAAAGGTCTACAAAATTCTGAGCAGGAAAATTGAAAACAGCAACACCACCACCAACGTGGAAAGCAGCCTCGGTCCTGTTCAAACTCAGAGTCCAGCTCCTCCCGGAACACTGGCTTTTTTTGATCGGCTTGATGGACATCAGGAAGGACATATAGCCAAAGAAGGCTCATGAAGAGGTCATTGAAATGTTCAGGGTGCTGAAGTAGAGGGTCTCTTGCTAGCAGGAGGAGAGGTTTCAAAAGAGGAGTCCTCTTCGGACTAGAAAGGTGAAAGCTGAGAAGAGAGATAGGCTCCAAATGGTGTGGGTAGGATGAGCAGAGACTTCAAATATGAATCAGGAGAGGGGGAGGCATCCCCAAGATTGGACATACAGAGAGGCTTTGAGTAAGCACAGGTAGATTTAACTTTCAACATCTGGTAGGAAACTTAGCAAATGTGTTCTTCAAAAAGCTGTGTCTACAAATGGAAATGGGGAAAAAAAGGTATATGTAACTTTGTGAATCTGAAATGTGCTCCCTAATGAAATATTAGAGGAATTTAGAATTTTTGAAGTTGAGGTGAAGGACATCCCTATTCTTTCATAACCTATCTTTCAGTGTACAGAAATACTGGGTGGGTCTTAGTGACCCTGAGAAATGTCATCTCCCTAAGGCTCAGTTCCCTTACCTGTAGAATGGAAATAATAATAGAGCTACCTCATAAGGTTGTTGTTAGGATAAAATGAACCAAAACATGTGGGTCAAGAGCTCCACGAATGTAAGCTACTATCATCATCAATAATATTATTCTATTAGAGAAATAGGCCTTCTGCAGAACACTTTATTACAGACTAATTGACCATGGGCCCATTTCCGATATTGTAGTAATGATGGGTAAATTGGAGACCAGAAGGATGAAGGTTTTCTCTGAACTAATAAATCCTGAGTTCTCCATTTTGTTTATTAGTTATTCCAAACTCCTAGAGAAATCATATGGTTAGTCATTTTTAACATAATGCAAATATTGTTGCTGACCATTGAGTTTTGAGTTGTCTGTTTTGGTTATGAGAAAATTTATCAGAAGGTTTCAATATGTTGTCTTCCATCATTTCTTAAGATTTGCCACTTAATCTTTGGTAAATTATCCTGATTTGTCCTTTCCATAAATTCTTTGGGGGTATGGTGTGATTTTTATTAAATTATATGACGCTATACTTTAAGGATTAACCTTTTGTCAAATATGTTACAGATTTTTCAATATTTTCATATCAGCATTTTTATTTTTTTATACATACTTTGGGGGATTAAAGAGATTTTACTTTCTATTTAGACAACCTAGTATTCTTTTTATTTATGAGTCTTTTATTGGATGTATCCTTTGAATGGCCTTTCCCCTTCAGAAATCAGATAAGTACCATTTTTTTCTGGATTTTTAATCATTTATTTTCTGTTTATGGAAAGGTTGTTTTTGTTCTTTGTTTGTTCTTACTATTTTTTAGCTGTAGTAAAAATATATATAAGGAAAAAAAAGATTTGCCACTTAATAGCTATAAAATGTTTGACATTTATGGACTGCCAGCCAAGTCAGCTGTACAGAATTTCAGCACAGCAGGCCTAGTTGCACTCTGTAGACGTAACTGAACATGTTTCTTTTTTGCTGTGCTTTTTAGCTGTGTTTGTCAGGTCATCATAAAGGCCAACTCTTCTTTATCACCCACTGAACTGATTAGCAGCATCAGAAGTAGAATACATGGCAACCTCATGCATGGGAACTTCACACAAGATCAATTGATGTTATTAGTAAAATCTGAGCATGTTGAAGTGAAACAACTAGGTAATTTTGGGGGGGAGGATTTTAGTATGAAATTACTTACCTTATTATAAAGTTCATAATGCATACATGTTAAAGGATCCTGAGTTCAGAGGGGAGAGAAGTTATCTTCATGTTCCATTCCACATCCTCGAGGCCCACTTGACCTGTCAACCTTTCTACCTTCAGAGTGCTGGAGGGGTTATCAGAGACCATTGGTTAGCTCTGGATTTTAGAATGGCCAGTCCATCAGTGGAGGAGGAGGTTGTCTCTCCTACATAAATATCCAGATGCCTGGAGAGCTTCTCATTAAATACAGTATATGCCCAATAGGTACTTACTAATTTACTGATTGATGCAGCCATCCTGTTCATCTTGGCAAGTGATCTGGGAACTGTCCCAGATTTCTCCCATGGGCATTTTCTTTTCTGATTAGCAGGGCTTTAATGACAAAAGAGAAAGGCTCCCAGGCCATTCTCCCTCCTTCCCATCACAGCTTTGTTCTTTCCTCCCAATAGATTGGGGTAAAATCATTGAGCTAACCCAGATAACACACATAGGCTTTAGAACGCACAATCCTTGGCAACAGACTACTTAAGTAGCAGATGGCAGGCTTTGACTGCACAAAAGTCAGAGCGAGATGGAAGGCAGAGAAGTGTTGAAGCCACAGGCAAAACCCACCATATACATGACACTAATGAATGTGTCCGGCAAGTGAGAGGAAGGCACCTTACATCCTCACTCAGGGAGGAGACTGGGATGGCTGGCCAAAGCTGGCTGGGCCACTTGTCACATCACTTTGTCAGTACCTGAGGGGAAGATTTCCAGAATCATGGTCATGGATCCAGTGAAAACTGAGAACTTATCACATACACTTAGCCCAGGTCACATCTCCCTTAATGTGACAATGCCTGGTAGCAAAATCTTGTCCTAGCAACCCTCTATGGAGGAGTTGATCCTGCTCCTCAGCACCAATATCCAAAACAGAGCTCCCCCATTTATTCTGGTCATATCAGATACACCAAGTATTCTAAAACCAAATTCACCCCAGAGTCCATTAAGAAGGTAGGGGCCATCCGGAAAGAAAAGTTGGCCTACAGTCTCCTGTCTTTGCATGTCGAACTGATAGCAGTGGGTACCTCAGAAGTTAGCCAATTAGCAGGTGGGACCTTTGATTTTTCATTCTATGTCCATTTGGGTGGCTTGGATTTTTTCAATGCATATATATCATGTTTAAAAAACCCTTCCAGCAACTGGTGGTTCTAACGAAAAGGACTAAATGTTCAGTTATACTTGGGTGGCTTTTTTTTTTTTTTTTAAGACTCCATTTAATGCTATTTTCAGTGAAACCTAGTTTAAATGGCCTGGTAGAAAACGTTTCCTCTTTTATTTGCTGTTGTTTATGTGCAGGACAATAATGATGGGTTGTAATGGATGTTCTTGATACTTTTAAGTACCTTTGCCCTTTAAAATGTGTATACATTTTCTCTGTAGACCCAGGAAAGTGCAAAGCCGATGAAACAGCCACTATATACAAAGGGACATACAAGTAGCTATTAACGAACCCTACGGAGACAGCTCAAATCAGATGCACGAAAAATGAGGATGGGAACGCCACTAGATTCTGGTATGTACTGGCCAAGTTCTAATTGCTAGTTCAGATACACAAAGATCTGCTTAATTGAGGGCATGTTTCTATGTTGTTTGTCTGACCATGCTCCCTCCCTCCACCTCTACTGCCAGTCTTTTTTTCTTTCACCTTTTGGACCTGCTTAAACATACACCAACATAATACGCACATAATAAGAAAAATTTTGAAGACAAAGGAAATAAAAGTCACCCATAATCCCAGAAAAAATTTCAAGAAGTGAAAAGAAAAGAAGGTCACCCATAATTCCACCACCTGAACACAGCTGTTTTTAGGTTGGCTTATTTTATTATTATTATTATTTTTTCTTATCTAGACTTTCTCTGTATGCCTTTAAGTTTTGTGTAGTGGTAATTACTGTCCTCATATCAATAAGTAATTTACCCTTTCGCTCAATGGTTTATCAAACATTTTCCATGTTTTACATTCATCTTCTTAATTATCATTTCGAAAAATGACCTTGGAAGCTATCTTGTTGATGGGTCATAATAATTTACTAAATCACTTTTCTATTGTTGACTTTATCGTTTTCCTTTTAAAAATCATCAGCCCTTTTTTTCTTACTCTCTGCTGTTAGTGGTTTATGGCATTAACTAAAGTGGACAAGACCAGAGAGGCAGCAGGTTTTGACAGAGGCTTAAAAGCATTCTTTAGAAAGAAACATCTTGGACTGTATCCTACCTTTTCCTCTCCACATCTAATCATCAGCAAGTCATGCGGCTTTTATTACAGTCACAGTCAGAGTTCACATCTAGCCTTTCCTTTGCATCCCAGCTGCCACTACCCTGGTACAAACCCTTACTATGTCCTGCCTACTATTAGAGCAGTCTTTTTGCCTTCTAACTGTCCACAGCTATATTGTACACTGCTGCCAGCATGATTTTCCTAAGTATGGCTGTATCATGTCACTCTCCTGCTCTTGTTCCACATTGCCTCGAGAATTAAGTCCAAACCCTTAAACACAGTCCTTAAGACTGTAGGCTTCCTTTCCTGCTGTCTTGCTCCTTCTGTAGTACCCCTCCCTTTACCATGTGTGTCAGCAAAAAGACCATTTGCTCTTCTGGATTTGATGAGCACTTCCTTGAATATCTTTCTCTGCTTTTGCTGTTTGCTCTGCTTATGGGAAGTTGGGGATGGGGGGTCTTTATCTCTGTCCTTTTGGAGGACAGTTCAGCTCATACGTTAAAAAGTTCTCCTTGCTTGATGGCTTGATAGATTCAGTTTTGTTTATACAGCTTTTCATCTCATGTTTTGCCTAATTTTAGAGTAGTTACATTTACAGTCTCAATCCACTGAATGACAAGTTCCTTGAGGGAGGGACGAGACCCTGCCCTGTTTGTCTGCACTACCTATCATCATTCCTAGAACACAGTGGGTGCCCAATAAATGTATTCGCTGACTTGAACTGTGTTGCATTGGATGAGGCGCAGGGGAGTGGATGATGAGGGCCAATGAGCTACAGAGGTTCTAGATTGGTCGCCCTGAATAAATGAATGTGCTGAGATAGAGACCACATTCCAGCCGGAATTTCCTCTTCAAGTAGGGGTTAGAAGGGAAGGCGAGGAGAAGCAGTCATGTCTAGAGGGGCAGCATCTCTGTCTTGACTCTTGGTCAGCTGGACATTGCCATGTCCCATCCCCAATTCTCTTGCCTGTTTATCCCCCTGCCTGCTGATGCCAGATTCACTTCCTTCTCAAGAGCAAAGTTTTTTTAACTTTACAAAGAAGCACTGGGCACTGGCTTTGCTACCTCAGCCAGGTGGCTGGAGGTGGGTGAGGGAGAAGCATGCCAAAGATACACCTGTTTGTTCACCATTTGCTTTAAGACTATCTGCCTCATCCTCCAAAGAGAAAGGTGGATAATGCCTTTTGTTTCTCTCTCCTCTTTTTCAGTTCAATCAGCATCCACACAGGCAAATCTCAATGGGAAAAACCAAAGCTTAAACAATACAAATTGCTTCAAGAACTTCCTGCTAACATTGTAGATCTTGCTAATATTACCATAAATGACGGTAAGATTGTTTTGTACACATCAGAGACATCATGAAACCTCAGTTAGTTTGCCTATTTGACCTGAAAACACAGAGAGTACAGGCAAACCTCACTTAGGAAAATGTACCTTACAACAATCTAATTTCATTCAGAGACTAGGTAGTTAGTGTCAGTGGAGGTGGTGGCAGGGCATGAGAAGTTAGGACTATCAATGCTTTTTGTTTTGTTTTATAGTGTTTTTTATTTTATAATTTTTGGTGAATTATTATTTTTCATTTTATTTTAATTTTCGTTTGAAAGGGGAAGGTGGTGAGGGGATAGGGAATAATTGGGTAAGGGACACAAAGTGTAATTACTAATTCTAATGATGAACATGCTAATAGTATTGATTTGATCATCACATACTGTACATAAATACTGATAGTCAACTCTGTACCCCGTAAATATGTATAAATAAAAATAATAAAAATAAAAAAGATTTAAAAGGTAACACTTTACATATTTCAATACTCAAAAATCAAAAAACGATATACAGTGAAACATCTGCCTCTCACTGCTGACCCCAGCCATTCAGTTACTAGCCTCAGAGGCATTTTATGCATCTAAAAGGATATATGTACACACTCATATATATATACATACACATATACATATGCACACATGCACTAGGATGCTTCAAAAAGCTTGTGGAAAAATAAAATTAAAAGATAATGCAAATCTTTCCATGAACATTTTGAAGTTCTCTGATATATATATATACATTTATACATATGCACATATACATATATACACACACACTTGTTCTCCCTTATTTCTTTTATGCAAAATGGAGCACACTACACATACTTCACTTCACCTTGCTTTTTTTTCTTGATATACTGCAGAGATTATTTTATCTATATCAGTATGTAAAGAGCTTCCTCATTATTTGTTTTCACCGTATTATATTATACTGCACAGATATGCCACAATTTACTTATTTAACCTGTTTCCTACAGATGGGTACCTAGGTTGTTAATAACATTTTGCTTTAAAAACACTACTGTAAAACTATTCTCACTTATTTGCATCTTATGTTATAAGTAAAAACAGTATAACATACTTTTTAAAAAAATATTTTTGACAGTGTGTAAGATGTTTCAGAACTGCCATTCTCTAAGCAGCTGATATAGAAGGTTGCATTTCTTTCAAAAATACACTTATGGACCATGTTAGCTTTCATTATGGTTTGTGACACTTTGTTACCATATTCCATAATATCAAATAAAAGAGATTCAAAATAAAATGTTATCTCTCTAAAACAAATACGCACTGCCATAATGGATATCACACATACTTGTATGTCACAGTTTTGCACAAGTGGGGTACACCTGAAGCATAAATTCCTCAAAGTGGAATTGCTGGGTCAATCATACTTTTGATGGTGTCAAAATGCTGTCTGTAATAGTGGCACCTATTTATACTCCTACTTGCAAGGTATGAAAGTGCTTGTTTCAAAACACCTTCATTAACATAGCATGTTATTAGACTTTCAGATCTTTAGTGATTTGATAAGCAAAAATTGATATCTCAATGTAATTTTAAAATTTTTTAATGGAGATATTCACATATTATAAAATTCATGCATTTAATGTGTACAATTCTTTTTTTTTTTTTTTGGTGCAACCATCATCACTAATCCCAGAACATTTTCATCACCTTAGAAAGAAACGCTGTACCCATTTATCAGTCTCTCCATTCATTTCCCCCTCCCCCTGGCTCTTGGCAATCACTAATCTACTTTTTGTCTCTATGAATTTTGCCTATTCTGGAAATTTCATAATGTTTTTGAGGTTCATCTACATTGTAGCATGTGTCAGTACTTCATTCCTTTCTATGGCTGGATAACAATCCATTATACAGGTATACCACATTTTGCTTATTCACTCATCAGTTGAAGGACGTTTGGTTGTTTCCACCTCTTGGCTATTAATAATCTGGCTATAAACATTTGTATACAAATATTTGTGTAGACGTATGTTTTCAATTCTCTTAGGTATATGTCAAAGAGTGGAATTGATAGGTCATATGGTAACTCTATGATTAGCTTTTTGAGGAACTGCAAAACTGTGTTCCATGGCAGCTACACCATATTACATCCCTGCCAACACCGTATGAAGGTTCCGATTTCTTCTCATCCTTGTAAACACTTGTTATTGTCTGTCTTTTAAATTATTGTCAGTGGTAATGCCCCCCCCCACCTTAATTCTTGATTTTAGTAATTTGTGTCTTCTCTCTTTTTATCTAGGTCAGTTAAATATTACCAAAAGTTAGGTCAAAAGTTAAAAATTACCTAAAAGTTAGGTCAGTTATCAGTTAAAATTTTTTGAATTTTGTTGATTTTTAAATAAGCTTTATTTTTTTAGAGCAGTTTTAGGTTCACAACAAAATTGAGCAGAAAATACAGTGAGTTCCCACATACCCCCCCACACAACACAAACAGACTCCCCCACCAACAACATCCCCCACCACAATGGTACATTTGTTACAACTGATGAACCTACACTGACACATTATTGCTCAAAGTTTATAGTTTACAACAGGGTTCATTCTTGGTGAGGTACAATCTATGGATTTGGACAAATGTCTAATGACGTGTATCCACCAGCACAGTATCATACAAAGCAGTTTCATTGCCCTAAAATCCTCTGTACTGCATGTATTCATTCCTCATTCCCCCATAACCCATGGAACCAATGATCTTTTACTGTCTCTATGTTTTTGCATTTTCCAGAATGTCATATAGTTGGAATCACATAGTATGTAACCTTTTTAGATTGGTTTCTTTCACTTAGTAATATACATTTAAGTTTCCTCCATGTCTTGTAATGGCTTGATAGCTCATTTCTTTTTAGCACTGAATAATATTTCATTGTTCGGATGTACCACAGTTCATCTATTCACCTACTGAAAGACATCTTGGTTGCTTCCAAGTTTTGGCAATTATATATTAAGCTGCTATAAACATTCATGTCCAGGTTTTTGTACAAATGTACATTTTCAATTCATTTGGATGAATATCAAGGAGTGAGATTACTGGATTATATGGTAAGAGTGTATTTAGTTTTGTAAGACACTGTCAAATTATCTTCAGAAATGGCTATACCGTTTTGCATTTCCACCAGCAATGAATGAGAGTTCCTATTGTTCCACATCCTCTCCAGCATTTTGTGTTGCCAGTGTTTTGAATTTTGGCCATTCTAATAAGTGTGTAGCAGTAGGTCACTGTTGTTTTAATTTGCGATTCTCTAATGACATACGATGTTGAATATCTTCTCGCATGCTTACTAACCTTCTTTGGCGAGGTGTATGCTATAGACTGAATTCTTCTGTTCCCCCAAAATTCATATGTTGAAATCCTGACCCCAATATGATGATATTTGGAGATGGGGTCTTTGAGAGGTGATTAGGTCATGAAGGTGGAGGGCTCATGGATGGGATCAGTGACCTTGTGAAGGAGGCTCCAGAGGACTCCTTTGCCTGATCCACCATGTGAGGTTACAGCAAAAAGATGACTGCCTATGAACCAGGAAGTGGCTCCTCACCAGACATCACATCTGTTTTCCTCATAAAATGTCCGTCTATACACAACTTTCCAGGCGTGGCTCTACTGCATAAAGCAGGTCTCCCTCATAATAAATGATCTGGAATTGGAGCACAGGCATCCCAGTGCCTTGTAGAAGGGCCAGGGAATTGGCCTTGAGGGAGTCAATTTCTCAGACTCATCCTCCTTTCAGAAGATGCAGATTTGAGATCCTTGCCAAAGAATATCTAGAAGAATTAGAAAAGCAAGCAGAGCTCTGATGGTTCCTAGGTCGAAAATCATGAGTCAGGGCAATAGGGAGTGTTGCAGCTTGAAGGGAGTGGGTGGAAAGACAGAGAGGTCTGTGTTTCCTGCTGACCTCCCTCCTTCTGAGTGACACATTTTCTTTAGACATGCTAATAGAATTTTCTCTTGTGGGAGAAAAAGTTAACACACAACCATAACAACAAAAACATGGCTTTGGGCTGGGATTTTCAGATAATTGACTGTCAGAAGTCACTTTAATAAACAAAACCAAACCCTACTGTGGAGTCAGAGAACAGTTGGATGGTGATTGTAATATATATAACTAAAAGAATACTATCAAGTTTATTAGCTTTGGAAGAATCCTCCTCTTCTTGTAAATTAGGAGGTTAATGAACAATGAGTACAATGTAGAGGAAAGAGAAATGTATTCACATTGAAACAATTTATTTTCTTTAGGTTTCAATCTAGCTGACAAGCATTAGATATCTTGGTTGGAAAAACATCTTCAGTTCTCCCACTTAAATGCTCCTTTAAAAAAATTCCTTACTATTGTAGAGTTTAAAAAGTTACCCTTATTTTAAAGTTCTTTGGGTTCTTTTTGTGCTCAATTTTTGTCACCTCGATGATACTGAAGATGCATCAGGCTCCAATGAAATTGGCTAGAACTTTTCACAAAGCTGTCTCCTGTCTGTGTCCATCCCACCATCAGGGCAGGATATTGAGGGATTAAGGGAGAACAAGGTGGGCTGGCTGGTTAGCTCAGTTGCTTAGGGCACAGTCTTGTAACACCAAGGTCGCAGGTTCGAATCTCCAAACCAGCCGGCCACCCCTTTCCTTCCCCCCCCAAAAAAAAGAGAGAGAGAGAGAGACAGAGAGACACACAGAGAGAGAACAAGGTAATTCCTAGGAGGTCAGGTAGAAGGACTGCAAAGCACAGCTATTCCAACCCCTCAACACCATGGAGAACAGGGACAAAGGTACACATGCCATAATAAAAAGCGATACTGAAGAACTCAAGCTTTGGAGTCAGAACAGGGTTAGAATCTCTCAGGGTCTTAATTTCTTCATCTGTATAATGGGGCTAATATGAGTACCACCTGAGTAATATGAGGGTTATTGCGATAAATAAATAAGAAAATGCATATACAATGCCTTGCTGTTGTTTCTTTCCAAAATGCCCACCGCCATTGACTTGTTCCTTCCCTGTCAATTGGGAGTTGAATCAGGGCTGGCATGTGACTGCTTAGCTGAGTAGAATTTGACAGTAGTGACACTATCAGTTATAGGACTAACTTTTAAGAGGACTGGAAGTTTCTGCATCCTTTTCTTGGTACACTCTCATTTGGGATGCTTTCTCTGAGAATCCATGCTGTAAGAAGCCCAAGCAATGATGAGCTGGAAAATAGTTAATAACCAGCTCTACCCCAAAGAGGTACTAATTTGTGCCATTTTCTAATTTTCATGATGTAATACCACTCCTGTGGCTGAATATAAACTACAACGTATAGTCACTGATCTATAAAGTTAGTAAGAGATGCACACACAGATACAATAGATGTACATAATCAGTTTGGCAAAATAGTTAGGAAGTGATGAGTTTTGACTATCACCATTGTTTTTAATAAAATTTATTTAATTATAAGTTTATGCAATTTAATTTTTAATAATGGCTGTGTTTAATAACCAGCTCACAAAATTCCCCACAACTTAACAACTGATTCTCACAAGCTGGTATGAGCTGGTTCCAGTATATTGCAAGCCATATCCAGCACAACACTGAGCCCAAGCCACTGAGGGAGGCCATGTGTAATAGGGAGTGTAGTCAACGGTCCCAACTGACAAGTCCATGGTCAGCATCAACTGCTGCCATCTGGGACTTCCAGCCTTGTCTAGCTTTCAGATGTGTCCAGCCCCAGCTGTCATCTGACTGCAAGTGCATGAGAGACCCCAAGTGACAACTGCTTAGTTGAGCCTAGTCAACACACAGAACAATGGGAGACAATAATAAATTGTTTTGAGTCATTAAGTTTTGGGGTGGTTTGTAACGCAGCAATAGATAGTTAGAACACTGGCTCATAGAAATTGCTCAGTAAATAACAGATATTACTGTTTGGATTGTTGCAATTACTGGCAGATTAATTGTAACAGTATTTCAGGCAATGGGGATCTGTTTATTCTACAACTAATAAAGGAGAATTCCTTTTACTGCTTTTGCTTGGGGACCTGGAATTTTTACACAATGAGTATAATTTATCCTGATCTTCCTCAAGAACTCCAGATGAAAAGTCTGTAATTACTTTCCACAGTGTGGTTAGTCTCTCATTGGCCTGTTGTTTATTTTCATTCTGTCACAGCAGGGACTGCAAGAAGTGAAGTCGCACCACTGAAGCCCAAAGAATCATGACTGGGCAGCTCTAACTATTCTATTTTCAACAAAGCCTGAACAATTTAATAAGAGCAGTAGAAAGATCTGTGAATGAGCTCACTATCTTTTTCTTCCATCCCTAACCTTATTGTTTTCTCAGTTTCTTTAACTGACCAGAAGATAAATTTTAACAGGGACAAAATATTAATTTAAAAACAATCACAACCTTGTTCAAGCTCCCCACTTCCTCCTCGGGAAGAACTGTCTTTGCCAACTCAGTTCCTAGTAAGCCATTGATGTGTGGATTGGGGTAATCAATGGGGGGTGGATAGAGGGGACTTTAGTTAAGATTGCTTAATTTACATTGATGAACACAGAGAGCTGTTTGCAGGGGAAAAAACACGTAAAGCAAGAAAATGAGGGGGGAAAGAGAGAAAGAAAAGAATAGCCTGTGCTGGCTAATGTTGTGGGGAGCTTGGAGTAAGAGAGATTTGATTAGAGACTGACAACTGTGGGGGACATTGAAAGAGAGGGAGGAAGAGATGGGGGGAGAGAGAGAGAGAGAGAGAGAGAGAGAGAGAGAGAGAGAGAAGACTTTTATGCTGAATTATTTTGTTTTCCCAAATCAAGTTGGTGGTTATCTATAATATAACCCGAGTTAAGTGTGTTATGAATGAAATCTCTCTCTGGAGTTTTTCTTAACAGATTTTATTTTTCAGTTATTTTCTAGCACGCTTGGCAAGTTAGATGAAATAAATTCTTAGAAAAATACAACTAACCAAAACTGATAAATCAGAAAGTCTGAATGGCTCTATATCCATTAAATAAATTTAATTTTAATTTAATTGGTATGGTGGCTATGACAAATTAAAGTTCTTTATTTTAGAGACACACAGTGAGTATTTATGGATAAAGCAATATGATGTCTGGGATTTACTTTAAAATAATCTGGGCTCAGGAGAAATGTGGTGGGAGTGTAGATAACATAGGATTAGCCCTCCATTGACACTTGAAGTTGGGTGGGAACATGGGGATTCATTATACTATTCTTTCTACTTTGGTGTAGGCTTGAAAATTTTTACAATAAAAAAGTGAAGAAAAAAGTGGGCGAGTTGACATCCTTTGTTCTTACTCACTAGAAAATCTAAATAATTAGATTAAAAGCAATTAGCTTTTTATTGTGATTTGGTCCATATTTGCTTTCTTTCTGTGGGTTGATGGCCCTTGACACCACCCTTGATTATGAAAACACAGACTGAGCGTTTGTTGATATTTGAGTATAGTTGGGATGTACTTAACTCAATACAGTATTCAGAAGTCTTAATTTAATTAGGTCAAATTTCAAGATCATTCTTCAGTGACAAAAAGATTTCCCTGGTGCATTTGAAAAGAATTTAATGAATAAAAACTTGACTTCTATGCTACTTTCTGCAAATACATCTATTGTAGAAATTAAGTTCCAATGTTTTCCTTCTGTAAACTTTGTTACCTTGGTATGTATTTTCATTGCACGGTTTTTATTCTTTAGGAGAAGGAAGCAGATCAGCATGGCTCCAAACTAGATGATGCAGGTGTTATGTTTCAACTTTGTTTCCCCAGAAAATGCAGATGATGTTTCAGAGCACATTTTAACTTTGATAAATGAATCCCCACCTCTGGATGAAGAAGAGACAAAGATTATTGTTTCTAAAGTACCTGATATTTCACAATGTGATGAGATAAGTATAAACCTAACCCAGATCATATTACAAATAAACAATGCTGTTTTGGAAAAGCACAACCATTCAGCCCCTGATCTGCATAAAGTAAGCAATGAGTAAGTACTAATACTTCAGTAAAAGAAATTATTTCATAAAATTAAAAATATTATTAATTTCTTAGCATACACTCATCACCAATTTTAAAGGTCGGGTAGTTATGCATTGAAAACTCAGTAAAATCGGGTCATTTTACTCAAATCTCAGTTTCGAAAGAGCACATTCAAATTCTCATTGAATCTTAGTGACAGCAACATTTCAGATAGTTACTCCAAACCAAACCCCCAGTCTATTTCCCCAACCCTGGTGCTTCCCCAGTGTTCCCTATTTCTAGAAAATGCATCCAACCAGTACCGAAGAGAAAAAACTTAAGAATAGTACTAGTTACCTCCCTCTAACTCATGGGCAATTGATAACCAACTCTGGTATGAGGTACTGTGTGCATACTTTTTAAAAATTCCTTAAATATTATGGTGGAATCCATCTACTTCTCTTCATCTCCACCACCATCATCGCCTAGTCCTAGCCCCATTCTCTCACCTGATTGTCTACAATAACCTAACTGGTCTCCCTGCCTCCACTCCCGCTCCTCTACAATCCGTCCTCTATATAGCAGCCAGAGTGATCTTTTAATGCTTGTATCAGATCATGTCATGCTCTTGCTTTTAAAACCACTCAGTGGCTTTTCATTACACATAGAATAAAGTCCACACTTCTAATAGGGACCCATGAAGACCTGCAGGATCTGGCTTCACATACAATTTCATTTAATTTTCAAAACAATCTTTTGAGACTTTGCAGGTGAGGAAACTGAAGCTCAGTGAGGTTATTTTATTTGCCCACACAGAAATTAGAAGTGCTAATATTTAGATTTCAGCTTGTCTGATCCCAAAGCCAGTGCTCTTTTCTAACAATTCCTAAAGGATATGAAGATAGTGATCAAAGCTCAAAGAAAAGTCTTACAATGAAGACATCTTATAAGGAGGATGGGTTTTATATTAAAAAGGTAGAAATGCTCTTCTCCATCTGTAGTTCCTTGCAGAATTCTGAGGATAATCGAGCGTGCTGGTCACAAGATGGAGTTTTCTGGGAGGACAGCAAATCTGACAGTGGCTGGTCTGGCTTTGGCAGTGCTGCGGGTAGACCACACATTTGAAGGCATGGCCTTCAGCATTCACTCCTATGAAGAAGGCACAGACCCTGAGGTGAGTGCAGCTCGAGAAACTGAGAGCCAATCAGCCAAGCACTGTTCCAAGTCTTCATTAATTTACTCCCTAGGAGGGAAAGAGGGCACTTTTTAAAAGGTTTTAATCATCAGAGGACCTTATGAAAATACAAATATCCCAGGGAAGACTCATATATGAGGGTACTTCCAAAAGCTCACAGAAAGATTCATATTATCTTTTCATTCCATTTTTCCACCAAGTTTTTGAAGTACCTCTGTATAACCTTTAGCCAGGCTAACACCTTGGTTGGAATGGGGGCCGAGAGATGTGCAGTGATATAAGCTTTGATCTTGTGACCAGAAATAATCTCAAATGTCAGTTTATCATTGGCTATCATTTATGGAGCACTTATCATACATTAGGCATTGTGCTACTGTCTTTTTTGTACACATGAGGAAACAGAGATTTTAAGTAATTTGCCCAAGGACACACAGACTAATGGCTAAGCCAGAATTCAAACCTATGTCTGCCTGGCTTTAAAGTCTGGGCCCCAAATGTCCATCATCGGATGAGTGGATACGGAAAATATGGTATATCTACACAATGGAATACTACTCAGCTATAAAAACGAATGAAATACTGCCATTTGCAACAACATGGATGGACCTTGAAAGAATAATATTGAGTGAAACGAGTCAGGCAGAGAAAACGAAATTCCGCATGTTCTCACTCATTGGTGGGAGCTAAAAAATAAACAAATTAATTCACCCACATACACACACACAAAAAAACAGGGGGTGGGGTGGGGAAGAAGATATAACAACTATACTTTTATGAAGTTGTTACAACAAGCAAACGGAAAGGACATTCTTGGGGGGGAGGGGAGAGAGGGAGGAGGGAGGGAGGTGTCGGTGATGGGCCATAATAATCATATACATTGTATACTGACAAAATAAAAATTTAACAAAAAAATAAAAAATAAAAAATAAAAAAATTGTGGTTGTTATATCTTCCTCCTCTCCCCCCCGGGGGCTTTTTTTTTTTTTTTTTTTTTTTTTTTTTTTTTTTTTTTTT